TGCTGCCAAATTCTGCGCCATGTGAGGTTCTAGGTGTCCTAGACCTAGAAGATGACCATGGCCTCACCATTGGTTCTAAAGATCACTCCACTTGACAAGAGACAACAATGGCCAACAAATAATGGAAACAGGAAATTCAAAGCAATAAGAATTGAAAAGCCACCCCAACGAATAAAATGCACAATTCAACCACTCAGAGGTCATACAAATACCCCAACACTTATAGCAAATGCAATCAATAAGTACTTATGGACCCCATGTAGTCAAATTCAGAATTAAGGTCGTCCAAAGTGCAACAACTGCTCCAAATACCCCAAGCAAGTCAATTAAAGGCAACCGACTTCAACAAGCAAATGCAAACGGCACATTCATGCCCCAATTCAACAAATAAACGCAGAAAAGTAGCCACAATACTAGAGCACAGCTCCCAATAATGCAACAGAACAGCAACTCGAACAAACTAGGAACTGTGCTAGTGTCTTAATAAATCAACAACTTTCAGCAATTAGACACAATCGGACCCAATATCGTAACAACTGTCTCCAATTGGACAGTCAATTACCCACATCAACCTGCTAAAATTAGCAATTGACCCAAGAAAATGGCAACTCCAGCAACAACAGTTCAGAAGTTGGACATAAACAACTCAACCACAAATGCCCAGTAGTCGATTAGGCAACCAATAACACAGGAGTAACAAATATTATGTAAACTACCCTCACCAGTACCACTGATGCATGCATAAGGAAAATTGAAATCAAATGGCCAACCCAAGACATGTGATAACGCCAAACACACCACTCAGTACCACTGAATAGCAGAGAGTAACACGGGACCCAATTGACAAGTAACTCCCAAATTACCCCCAACAATTTCCAAACAAATAAACTGGCACAAAAGTCATCCAATTTTATCCCCCAGATGCAATAGAAATCTCAAGTAGTCAAAGCCCAAATAATATTCAACAATATAATCAATACCAGAGAGCACCCCCAAATGGGGTAGCAAATAAATTGAATTCCACCCAAAATCTCAACAACTGTCTCCAATTGGACAGTCAATTGCACAACTCAACCAACCAAATGAATTGGGATAGTAACTATGGCCATGAAATCAACAATCAATGCACTAAGTATTATAGTTGCTGGATTGAACAAAGAAATGCACAACTCTGCCAACTACAATTCAGCAGAGGCCCGAATACCTTAGCTACTTAAATCAACGGTCATAGGGCATCAAGAATTCAGCAAAATAATTTAGCAGGGGCCCGAAAACCAAAATTCAACATAGAACCCAAAGTCTGTGCCCAATTCAATCTAGAAATCTATTCCAGAAATAGTACTCCAAATATAAGTAATTTACCTTAGAAAGTTGGCCAATAAATTGAGAAAAACAAGTACCTCCGCCTCATACCAGAGACACCAAGCAGATGGCCATGGGTGGTGGAGCAGTGGAGCAGCGGAGGAGCTGTTGGCCGTGAGCTGGTGACGAGGTGGAGAGAGAGCAGAGGGAGGTGGCGGCGGTTGGCAGGAAGAGGCGGTGGGCGAAACTTCGTGGGCGCGAGCAGCGCGCGATGGTGTCTCTGGTCACGGACGAAGCTGGAGGAGAACTGATGGTGGTCGCGCGTGGTGGAGCTCGTGGCGCGCGGTGGTGCGAGGTGGTGGCCGCGGCTGTGGAGCGTGGGCAGGCGGTGGTCAAAGGCGCTGGTGAGTGGAGGTGGCGGGGATGAAGCTTGGAACGGAGGCGGCGGCGATGGCAGCTGGTCAGCGGCGTGCGGCAAGTGGGTAGCAGGTGGTGGATGGCGGCTAGTCAGCAGCTGAGCGCGCAAAAGGACAGGAAACTTGGAGCTTGGAGGTGGTTGAGAGGGTGGCAAGCTGGTGGTGCTCGCGTGGTGGTGGCGGAGACGCGCGGTGTGAGCTCGCCGCTGTGTGGGCTGTCGTGCTCGGTGGTGTGCGGAGGATGGAGGGCAGCCGAAAGAAGAAATAAAAGGAAAGGAAAGCAGGGCAGCGGGGAAGAAGGAAGAAAGAAGAGAAGGAAAGAAGAGAGGGAAAGAAAGAAAGAAAGAAAGAAAATAAGGAAAAAGAAGAAAAGAGAAAAGGGAAATTTATTTTTTTTTTTCGAAGTTACTCCAACGTAAATCGTCCAAATTGGAAATTACTTTAAAAAAAATTTTATTATTATTATTTTTTTTGTAATATAAAATTTAAATTTTTTTTTTTTAGAAATTTTTGGGTCGTCAAAACACCGCGTGGGCACGCCAAGATTAGAGAGCATCCACTGACTTCGAGAGTTACCTTATGCACTTTAACGCGTGCCCTCCTCGCGTGGGCACGCCAAGATTACCTATCCTGATCAGAGTTAGAAAACATCAAGAGTGACTAATACCCACGTGAAAAACGACATAATTTAATAATTAAGCACTAAAACAATAAAATTAACAATTGGGTTGCCTCCCAAAAAGCGCCTTTCTTTAATGTCTTTGGCTAGACATGCTATGCTTGTTCACGGAGGATAAAATCTTGTAGCTCGTTTCAATGCTTCATCTTCAATACGATCCTGGTAACCCTCATAGATGGAGTAATCTTTGAACACACGAGTTGCGGGCTTCCATGGACTAGTAAATGGTGCTAAACAAGTCAACGATAATTTGAATTCTCCATTCACTCCTCCATCACATGCATTCTTCGGTTCAAGATATTTTTCCATTGCCACTCTTAACTTATTCCTGTCATGAAATTTCAAATTTTCTGGTATAATAAAATCAATTTTAGTAACAGGAATTGAAGAATAGGAGTCAGGAAAATATTGATTAAGGAGTGGAGAAGATGTCACCGCATTTGGAGATTGTTCACTGGATTCATTCACTTGAATGAGTTGCGGTTGGGGTTCCATTTCTTCATTTTCGGCTTCTTTTTCAACTGCATCTGTACATCTCTCTTCTTGAAAATCTTGCAGCTCCTCATCACTAGTCAGGCAAATTGCACTCTCATTTTCTTCAAAATCAACATTGATTTTCGAGGGCAATTCTTCAAATTGAGAAGCCAATCGATTTATTCTGAATGTCAATAGACACATTTGATCTTCTAGATTACTCATTGCCTCCTTCATCATCTCATTTCTCCTTTGTGTCTCCTGTTGGAATTGATATGTATTAATAGCTATTGATTCAACTATTTCTTCAAGAGACATACCTGATATAGATGATGATTCTTGAGACTCATACTGCTGAAAATTCATTGGCTCTGTTGTATAATTATAACTGGAGTTATCCCACCATCCTTGATCATACCCGTTTGGATTAGGGTTATACCACGTTTGAGACCAGGGTGAAAAATCTCCATAATTATTGATTGGGACACTCAGATTATCTTGATATTCGGGGCACATACCGGTTGAATGATCCCTGGCATAACAAATTTTACAGGTTGCAGCAGCCATTCTGTCTCTAATAGAGTTTAGTGCCTCTGAATATGCAAATTTAGCAAAAAAACTAGCCTCATTGCCTTCCCTGGAAACAAAATCCAGTCTATCACCAAAATACGGAGTGTTAGAAGCCATAAACTATATTAAAAAAAATTAAGAGAAAAATAAAAAATAAAAAAAAATGAAAACAAGATGAACTCCAAAAGAAACAAATAATAACGCCAGTCCCCGGCAACGGCGCCAAAAATTGACAGGTGCCGAACCTGTGCAATAATAAATACATACTCGAGAAAAATACAGATTTTGTATATAGCGGTGAGTAGTGTCGAATCCACAGGGACTGGGAATAATTCGTTTCTTCTAGAGTTCAAAGTATGGGGGGATTTTTGGATTAAATGCTAACTAAATAAATTAAATGCAGAAAATAAATAAAAGAAATAATTATTGGAGAAACTCTAGCCAAGGGTACACTTCAGAAATGGTTCATGTACTGATAATTGATACAGAAATAATTCCAACATTTAGTAATAGATTAGTTATAGTTGTCATGCACGCGATAAACAACCAACCCTTCCTTAATTTCTCGATAGCTAAGGTACGACCGTTAGCTATTTCTCTAACCCAAAAACAACCCTAGGTACGACCGTAGGATTTAATTTCTAGATTGCATTAATAATTAGAAAGGCCCAATCCTAACCAACAAACACGCTACGAGGGTTTGTTTAAATTAGATCATATGCTCCCCTGACATAAACCCATTTACGCCAGTTGCTACTGAGGTAGAGATAACGAACAATTACGGATTCAATTACCCCTATTTAGCAAAAATAGCCTATATGAATAATTAATTATTGCGCACTAATCAATCATACACAAGGCCATATAAATTAAAATCAAGGAACATATAAATACTAATAAATGAAGAAAATAATTAAAATAGATTCGATCTCACAGTAATTGTCGAACCAAATCGTCAGTTGTCCCCTTGACTAGAAAAGCTTAACCACGCCTCATGAGAAAATCTCCCCGTTGGGGAATATTGTCGAACACCTGGCGTGTGTCAGATGCCAGTCTAAGGAAAGAAAGAAAAGAAACTAAAACTAGAGATCCCCTTTTGCTTCTGTACGTCTTCCCTTAAAAAGCCAAAAGAAAGAAACCTAAAAGCTATTTCCTGTGGTCCCCACACATGTGGACAAAGCTTCCAAATTACTTCTTGGTCCAAGTCTCTCTACGTTGCTTTCTTTGAAAGGCCCAAATGACTAAATGCCTTTCACTAGCTTGTGGTCCCCACCAATTCAAGAGTCCAAGGTCCTTAGAAGTCTCCATTTTCCCATAAAAGTCCCTCCTTTTTGGTAATTTTTTGCTTTGTTCCTGAAATTAAATCCCAATACCAAATATAAGTAAATATTAATAATTAAAACAATATTTGGCAAGAATAAAAGGGGAAATTAACAATAAAATTACTAACAATTAACACCCTATCAGTAATATATATTTATGTCGTCGTTTATGTACATACTATTCATGAAATGTTGCAAATTAGGGTGTTTGATGCATAATTGGTAGGAGCAGAAGTAATGGATTGCAGCATATTGGCAGAAGATGGGACCCCTGAATTAGAAATGAAGTTCAACAATGAAAAGAATGCGTGCAAGTTTTGCAAAAAATATGCCTTTAAAATGGATTTTAGTGTATGCAAAGACTATCTAAATAAAGACAAAGACGGCGTGACGACATTTAGAAGATATAGTTGCTGCAAGGAAGGTGTGAAGCGCAAGTACGAAGGTGATGTGATGCCAAAGAGGACACGAACGCCGACGAAAATAGAGTGCAGAGCTAAAATGGTTAGCGTGTTACTTAAAGGGACAATAAAGTACCGTGTGCATGACCTTGTCTTAAAGCATAATCATGAGTTGCACATTGCTCAATATTCGCACATGATGCCATTACAAAGAAAAGTGAGCGAGTCTCAAAGATTCCAAGCTGAAATAAGCGAGGATACTGGGTTTTCATTGAAACAAAGCCATGAGTTTATGGGAAAGGAGGCAGGTGGGAAGGGTAATGTGGGATATACTCAAGATGATTTTAAACGATATTTTCGAACGAGACGGGAAATGAACTTGAAATATGGAGAAGCAGGTAGCATGCTGAATTATTTTCAAGAGTAAACACTCGAGAATCCATCCTTTTTTCATGGCGTACAACTGGACTGTGAAGAGCAGATAACAAATATATTTTGGGTTGATGCAGGAATGTTAATTGATTACAACTTTTTTGGAGACGTAGTCACATTCGATACAATCTACAAAATAAATAAAGCATACCGGTCATTTGGAATATTTGTGGGTTTTAACTAACATAGGCAAATTGTGATATTCGGTGCTGCCCTTATGTATGATGAGATGATAGATTCTTTCAAATGGGTGTTTGGTACATTTCTAGAAACAATGTGCAGAAAGCGTCCAAATAGTATACTAACCGACCAAGATCACGCCATGACAACTGCTTTTTCACTTGTCATGCCCCAAACGTTTCATGGTTTATATACGTTTCACATAAGGCGTAATTTTATGAAACATCTTGACAATCACTACAAGGAAAATATTGACCTTTCATACATGTTTGGTGCTTGCATGTATAAGATTGAAGAAGTGGAACAATTCAACAGGGTGTGGGAGGCGATGGTGAAGAAATACAATCTTGAAAATAATGAATGGCTTTTCAGGATATATCAAATTTGTGATAAATGGACAAGATGCATGATAAAAGAAAGATGGACCGCGAAAATGCGAAGCACCCAACTAAGCGAAAGCCCAACGTGTGCATGATCTTGTTTTAGAGCATAACCATGAGTTGCACATTACTTAATGTTCGCACATGATGCCATCACAAAGAAAAATGAGTGAGTCTCAAGGATTCCAAACTGAAATAAGCGAGGATGATAGGCTTTCATTGAAACAGAGCCGCCGAAGGTTCCAGTGTATTATCAATTTTCCACTATATTAAACAATTATTTCAACCAAAACTGCAACAAGTATAATCAATCTATTTGTTCACAACGATGTATACAACAAAAGACAACTACAAGTCAAATCGATCCACAATTTATATGATACCATTGATGTTTTCTTACCTGTATTTCTTCTGCTTTATCTCTTCTCCGGATCTCCCAACATTGTACTTCACAATTCCCATTCACCTTTCTCAAGTGTTCTGATATTTGAGTGTCAATCCTAAACTCTCTCCTTCTGCCACTACTTATTGCTTCTCCTCACCGTGATTTTCCTTCGTAGCCACTCTATTTCTACTACTTCTTCCTATCACTTGTCTACTACGTGGCAATTTCCAATTCTGCGATGTTATTTTCCCCTTGCTTTTCTTTCTTGCTATGTTTTGTACAATTGTGCATCAACGAATATGGACAATTATTTTGGAGGGAGTGCAACTTACATTTTCATTTTGAGGATTCCTTTGGGCGGGAACGGACCAACACTTTATGAAAAGGTCCGTCAACTCTTTTTCTTTTTGTTTTTCCCGTTTCTTCTCAACATGGCATCGTTCTAGCCCCTACTGAAGCCTTCCTGATGTGGTTGATTGTGGTTCATGCGTTGGGTCTTGTGAGGAGACCGTTCAGGAGCGGTCGGTCTGATGACCGCTCCTGCCCCTAATCCCAAGCCATGCGCAAACACTAAAAGTAGTTTAGTAGCATATGGATGCAACAAACGTTCTTAATAGTAGATTAGTAGCATGCGGATGCTACAATGCGCAATGTTCCTTCTGGAGTGGTGTGAAAGTTCTACCCATTCCACTAACACGTTGATAGAGTCGGCAAACTGACAACATTCACACGGGCCCTAAAAATTCCCCCTTTTGCATTTTTTTCTTTTTTTTTATTACAACGATAATATTTTTATACCCTAATCTATCATAATTTAGGGTAGGAGGAGCCGACGGGAGTTGAATTACCATAAGAGAAGATGGTGAAGGTCACTGAAGACAGCCACATATAGTAATAAATTGGTGAAAAGTAAGGGTTGAACTTTTAATCTCCCATACCACTAAGACTTAAAATTTTGGAGAGTCGGGTGGTGACCACCAACCCAAATCCACTAAAAACTCCTTACTTAGAGAAAAAAATCTTGGGGACGATAAAGCAAGATATCCAGGGTAAGACTGTGAATGGAGTCGGGTGAATCTGAGCTCCGCCCATTCGACTTGAAAAAAGTTCATTGGGTTTAAGTTTCAATTGGGGTCGAACAAAGTTTGAACTTAAATATTAAATTCGAACTAAATGTAAGTTGAGTTTTGGTCATACTAACTCAAGTCCAATTAAATTTCGGCTCGTATTTCAGTATAATTATATATGTAGAATATATATATATATATATATATATATATATATATATATATATATATATATATATATATATATATATATATATATATATATATATATATATATATATATATATATATATATATATATATATATATATATATATATATAAAGGAGGGGGTTTATGGTAAACAAAAATCTGACACTTTATATGCTTTCTAAACTATCATTGATGACGAGGGAACTTTTGGTATAAACAAAAACTTATCTATCTTTGACAACTAATCACTGCCAATATATTTATATATTTTTTTTACCAAGTAATACGTATTTTTTCATATTCTGTTTTTCAACTTATTTAGTAAATCTTAATTTTAATTAGCAACTACCAATTATGGTTATGAATAACTAGCAAGCAACTACTTTTTATAACTTTTATTTTGGTGAATTTTTTATATATGTATTTTCAAAATATAAAACCAATTTTTATGAAAATTATTTTGATAAATATACTCAAAATATTTTTTCTATTAGTTGCAGGCGCATTAGTGTATGTCTTGAATACTAGTACATATTATGACATAAAATCTTAATAATTTGTATGTAAATTTGTATTAATTCATAATTATAAAATATATATTGTATATAAGCATGTATTTAATTATGAGTTTGGATCAAATCCGATTTAAGACCAAATTTGAAATCCGAAAGCCCAAAAATAAAAAATTCATGTAATTTATGAGCCGAACTCGTGCTCGTTAAAGCCCGACTCAAAAAGCTCAGTTGACGCCACCTTAAATCCCGGGGCTGTTCGGACCCTTTCCACCTGTGACACTGTAATGGAACGCCAAAGTGATGCACCACTTTTTCTTTTTCTTTTTTTCCGTTACTAGTTATTGTAACGGCATCGTTTTCGTCCTACGGCAGAACCCGTAGACGTGGCCCGCTGCGGTCCCCTCACTCCTTTTTGTTAGAGGACCGCCGACGAACGGTATTCTTCTTGAAGACGACATGATTGGGGCCCAGATCCAATTTGGTGTAGTGCTTCCTTCACAAGCTGTGGGAATGCTTTTGCAACGGAAGTTGCTTGGCAATTTCCCTTGGACCATTCTTCGTTGGTGGGATTCTTCGTCTGCTTTTGATCCACATGCTTGGGGCCCTTGATTGTGGAAATTCCACCCAAGAAGGACAAGAAACTGGGACATAATAATTAGTTTTTTTTTTTTTTTGAAAAAAGATGGCAATCATCATTTGGAATCTTATTCTTTAATTATTGCGACATAAACGTAAAATTAATTTCACGATCCTAGGGGATCAGATTTAAAACATATATAAGTACTCCTTATCTTGTTTGCTTTCTGCAAGGGATCACGCTCACATTATCGTGGCTTAAAATCCTTGAATTTATTTGCAGTCCAGAGACCTCAAAGTTCCCCATTTCCATGCAAGCTGGATGCTTTTATTTGCTTTTCCACCGCTGTAGAAGCCTGGAAGTAATGCAGCAGTACAACTTTGACAAACTTGGATGTCAATTTGACTGCCATAGACAAGTTTGCTTGGCAATTTCACTTGGCCTTTGTTGATCAATATGCTTAGCTGAAGATTTCATCTTTTTTTTTTCCCTGATTGAACGGTAGATGGGGCCTTTGATTGTGGAAAATATCTCTGGGGGGTTGTTGGAATATTGGTTCAGAACATCCCAACTTGGATTGTTATTTTTTGAAATTTTTATAAAAAAATCACTACAGTAATTTAATATATGTAAGATAAAAATGTGATTGAAAAATTTGATCACGGAAAATATAACAATTTTTTCGAGAAAAACTTCAATCCAATCATTGGAAATTTAAATCTTTAGTTTTATGCATTTGTGAAATTGTCAAAATAGTCCCTTGTATTTTCAAAAGTTTTCTAGCACTTCAAACTTATAAAATAGGTAGTTAAGAACTCACATTTTGACACAAAATGTCTTGTTTATGTCCCACATACACAATTTAAGTGGAGAGACTTTGAGAAGTTTCTTTATTATTATTATTGAAGTGCAATATGCAATCGACTGGAGTTAAAAGCAAAATAGACCTTTATCTTATGCTATATTTGTATACTTCACCTGAATTTGGATGCTCTGGAGAGGAGGAAGTGAGCATGTTCTCGTGGATTTTGATTTTTACCATTGAATTATCTACTTTGAAATGAGCACAAGATTAACTTAAATAGGGTCTCGAACAAACTAGAAGATTGTCTAAACCTGAAAAAGACTTTTGAAGGTCGAGACTGAAAATGAGTGGTTGCAATCAATTGAATCTAATTCAAATTAATGATGCAAATGTACATGAGTCACAAAATGCTTATAAATTGGATAAATTATATGTAACTCCCATATAGTTTCAACTATTGCCACATGATTCCCCCCTAACGTTTCAAAATCTCCACTTCACTCCCCTCCAAATGATCTTATGTAAAGTGAAAACTTGATGGAGAATTAATATAATTTCGTTAATTAAAATACCAATAATGCCCTTACTTAAATGCTAATCAATCAACAGCTTAACCACCTTATATAAAAAAATAGAGAGATTATGTGGATAAATGCTAAAATTACAAGGGGATAAAAAGAATATTTATACAAATCATAAGACATGAATATTAAGATTTCACAAACGCCTAACAAATTGTAAGCTTTGCTGAGGCCTACTCTGATTGAGAGACCTTAATTGCTTAGGCCTTCTGTTGTGGTAAAAAATCTCAAAAGGGATGTTGGAATAGTAGTCTGACCCAAGAAGCACAACAAATTACTGTCCTTAACAATCAAAATGTACCCAGTCCCGTTTG